AATAATTAGATATAAAGAAAAGTTTCTAGATATTGGTTTACTAACTCTAATTATTTTCGCTTAAGTTGCCATTCTTAAAACTTGTTATACTTTTTTCTGCTTCACAAAATCATCAGCGATATTGTGAAGCAGTTTCGCTTCCTGGTCATTAAGTATTTTTAACCTTTTTAGTTGATTTCTATCTTGATAATTTAATTCCTATAGTAATTCAATGATTTAATTATTTCATTTGCTTATCTTACTAAGAAGAATCGCTTCAAATATGTTAAACTTTTCAAACTACGCGAAACATAAAATAGGTATTAAAAAAATTAACTTTTTTATTTATAAAATAAATTAAGCTTAAGTAAAACTAAAACTTGCAAACTTAGTTAAATAAAGAATATTTGTTTCCCTTTTAAACAATCGTAAGTTGTTACTTTATATAAAAAACATTGCTTAATTTTATAAAAAAAATTATAAAAAAGCGATGTTTCGAAAATATTTGTTCTAAATGTAATTTATTTAGCTTAAAGTTTTTTCGCATTTAAAGATATTTTATTTGCCTACTTTTTTTTTTTTGTATTTGTCTCTCATCGGTCCAATTAATCTTAGTCGCTATTTTTTTTTTGCTTTTCAAAATGTTCTCAAAATGACTAAAAAATCTGGCCAGCTTTTCGCAACTAAATATTATTTATGTGGTCAGCAATCCATCACATAATATCCCAAAAAATTTAGATTTTAACAAATCAAATAATGATTTCTCTTTTAAATCTTCACCAATAAAATCTATAAATTCCGCACATTTGACATTGCTAAAATATGCGTCTCCCAGCTCAACACCATGATCTTTCAAGCCATAATATTTCTGTGCACTTTATAAATGGTAATTCATTCTTTGCAATAAAGTATGTAACTTCAAACTTTTTCATAGTTTTCTTAATTTCTTTTCTATCCATAACTGCTATACCAGAAATAGTATCTTGATTACCTAACACATTAGCCATTTGTCTTGCCCTTTGGTCTAGTGATAATTTTTTACATTCATAATATAGTTTGCAAGCATATGCATGGGATTTACAAGACTATGCATGATCACTAACAGCAGATTTTTTAAAATTAGTTAAAACCTGAATATATGCATTTGAAAAATTATCCATGCACTTAATCTTGTTTTTAAATTTCCGGCAGAACTTGCAAGTCAATGATTTAACTTTCTCGTTTAAATCTAAGGCCATTCAAATGTAAAAACATCAGCTAGTTCTGATTTTCACTTTTCTACGGTTGCTACAGAAACGGTTTGGGAAGATTGTGAAGAAGATGGGATTTTTGCTTGGTTCAGGTTAATTTTCTGGCTTACCAATACCCCTCCGAATGAAGCAAAAATTGTCTTTTGTACTTTTTTTGGTGATTCAATTAACTTGATTACTGCAACTGTCGTAACTGATTGAGTACTACATTCTCCGCAACGCCTTACTTTTTTATGTTCTTTGGAATAACTAACATCATCTTTAGATACTTCAATGGAAAAAATGTTACATACTATTAAGGAACAATCTACACACAAATACTTTGTCTTACGGTTTTTGCATGCTATGCATAACAAGTCTGACATTACGAGGAATTTATACAGTGTTCCAAAAATATAATGAAAACAAGTGCATTTATTTCTAGTGAACATTGATGCACTATTTAACGATATTAACTAAAAAAATTTCACTGCAATAATCTGAATTACATTTATACTGTTTGCCATTTAAAACGCTAAGTGTCTTCTTATTCTTATTATTATTATTAATTCTAACATGTTTAATTATTATTATTAATTCTTACATGTTTAATCATTTAAAGTTAAATCAAATCATTACGATAACCTAGATATTGGTTATTACAAATTCAAAAAAATCTACACACTTTTACTCATTGAAAGGCGGTTAAATCAAACGCAATATGATATTTATGGGTTATTATTTAATTTAAAAATTCTATGTGCTGCATGTCATTAAAATTATATCAATTCAACAAAGAAAATTTTATGAGTTCAGGTAATTATTTATCTACTTTTCAAAATTATTTATCTACTTTTAAAAAAGACACTCCTTCTTCAGCAGAAAATTTTTATAAAGCTATATATATATATATCTTTATATATACAGAGCTTGAATTAACCGTATCGCGATCGCAAATTGCGATTGCTTTTTACACTTTCGCGATTAGTTTTTTCTTAAAACATATTTTTGCAATTGGTTTACTTTTTTAGTTTTTTATTTACTATTTTTCTAACTTAGCTTTTTTTTTTGACAACTCTTAAAAGTAATGTTTTCATAGTAAAGTACGTCACGCAAAGTTTGCCTTGAATTTCTATTCACAATGCAGATCAGATCTTGTGCGCATGATCTTGCTCTTTCGCGCAGAGATTTTTATTCAACGTAAAGCACTTTTTAAATTAAATTACTTAAAATATCTGCGTAGAAGCAAATTAAAAAGACAAAAATTAAAAAGAATTTTTTCTTCATTCTATTTTTTTTAACAAAACATTTTTATCTTTTTTTAAACAAAAATGTTGCTCCAAATAAACTTATTAATAATGATTTAAATTATTATTTTATAAACAATTTTTTATAATTATTTTTAACACTTTAAGTATAATAAAATATATATTAATTCGTTTTTATTAAATAAAACTTCTATTAGTAAAATTGTACTAATAAAAACCAGCAACTTTTTTGCTTTCACTATTTTTGTTTTTAACAACCTTGAAACTATAGAAGTTATATTTAGTTAACTTTACTGAATGGATAGAGTATATTACAGTAAATTAACTTATAACCTAAATCAAAACAACCAGTTAAATTAAGATAGTTACTCAAGTATCAATTTAACAATTATATTAATTTATTTAATATACTCGCAAAAGTTATCCATAGACATGTTTTACTTCAGATCTTACATGTTGTTAACACATAATATAAGCTTTTAACTAATAACTATTTTAACAAAAATTGTCGAAAAGAATATGAAAAACGCGAAACAATTTTTTTATATTTTCATTTTATTTATAGTAACATCTAGACTAAACATTTTTTATAAATACGCTAGCTGTTTTCGGGAATTTTATTTAAAAAGAAATCTATTTGAACAAGAGAACTTTAGCCTTAAAATCCACTTATTTAAATAATTTTGTGATTGAAAATTGACATTTAAAAAAAAAAATTGAAAAATTGAAAAAAAGTTTGATGAAACAAGGGAGAATGAAGAAGAACGTTTTTTTTTTTCCCCAAATCATAAATTTTGTTAACGTTTTGAATTATATATTTTTTCTTGAAAATAGTTTTAAAAGTAGAAACATTCTATTGCAAACATCAAAGCAGTGATTACAAATTGCAAGTTAAAATAAAAATTATAAAAAATTTAAACTAAATTTAATAAATTATTTTACTTCTGTTCAAAATTTTTTTTTCTAAAAAAATAATTTAAGCATATTCTTATACTTATATATAATTAATATAATTCGATTTATTAAAAAAAAATTTTTGTTTCACTTTTTTTGGAAAACAATTAGAACAAAAAAAATTGAATGAAAACATCATCTTAAAAACCATTTGAATGAAAAACTTATACTTTATAAATTATACTTAAATTTTTAATAGTATGCTTGATCGGGAAACAAAAATTTATAAAAGACATGGTATCTAATGTTTTTTTGCTTCGTTTGGTCTATAGATTATAAACTCGTATGGGTCTATTGGCGTAAATATGAAGTTTTGTTTTAGTTTATTAACTAGATCAATTTTAATTATTTGCTTTATTTTATTTTAAACGCGTTTTATTTTATAAACCGTATAAATCAACACGAAACAGCGTCACGAATCTGTTTTACATTAATCCAGGCTCTTTATATTTTTAAAACAACTTTGAAGTTTGTTTTAAGCTTTTATAGTTTAACAATTAAAATTAACATGCCCAAACAAATAGCTTGTAACAAGTATAAAACCAAAATTTTATAATTAATAAGAAATATTTATAATGAATAAACAAATAGCTCTCGCAAAAACCAAAAGCTCTCCTAAGAAGCTTTTTAGAGAAGCAGCTCGCATAGCTCGCCATTTTTGTTTTGGAGAGCTTTTCACAATACCAGGGACGTAATGGGGATCAAAGTCCGAACCTCTTGCTTATTTAGCAATATTTATACATAACACCCTAAAATCATTTTAAATAAGCTCAAACTTAATTCCATCTGAATTCCTCATTTGTGAAAATATAACATCAATCTCTAAACTGCTATTAATCTATTATACTTACACTGAATAGAGATGATGAAAACAGCAAGTAAAATTGACACATTGCAAAACTATCTGATTAATAAATACATATTCTAATTGTTGGAGATTTTAACCAACTGGATATCAGCAAACTATTTTCAATTCTTTTCTAACATAACATTTTCTAAAGCAACACATATTAGTCAAAACAAAAATTTCAATTGACCTCATAACTAGGGTTGCCAGACACCTGACTTTTATGGAGCGCTAAACCTGATAAATAATTTTTTTTACTAAATTCTCCTTGGTAAAAGCTGTACATCTGGCAAGCCTACTCATAATAAAATCTGATGAACGCATGATTTCTTTTAATCATCTAACACCTATTTTACAGATTCAACTACTACTATACTTTACTCTCTCAATCAAAATCTACTGCAAAACCAAAATATCTTGCAGAAAAACATTTATTAAATCTGAAAGAAAATTGCTAAATGCTAAGCTAAATGAACATAATTAACTTTTAATTTAAAATTGATTTGTGATCTAAAATTATCTGATTATTATTTAATTATGATTGATGCAGGTGAAAACAGTACATTGTTATTTACCAATAAAAGTGCATGTTAACTAATATTTATTTAAAGTTTGTTTCCAAAATAATAAAGATCATTAGAACTTTTTTCCTTAAAAATGCCATAAAAATATAGTAGTAAAATAATAGCATAATTAAATAACAAACAAAAATGTGTAACTTACTTCAGTAATTTTATTTTTAAGATGCTCTATTTCTTCCTTTTGCTTTTCTCTCTTTTTCAACAAAGTTTTTGCTCGAAAACCATCAACTGACGCCCCTTTGTATTGTGCCATTTTTTGTAACTAGTGTGTATTATTGTGTAGAAAGTAAAGTATAAATATAATTAAAATGTTGCAAAACAGCATTATTCTTATTAAGCTTGTAAAAAACCCTTACACCACAAAAAAACAAAATTTATTAGGAGAGATGATCTCCTAAAGATTTATTTTGATATTTTTTGAAATTCATATTTTTTTAAATGACTTTATTTTTATTTTTTTATGAGGTTTTTTATGGGTAGAAATGTATTACACATCACTATTAGAAGCTATTTATAATATAAATTTATAACTATTTTACTTTTAGATTTAAGAACTTAACTAAAAACAAGAATAAAATAATGAATGAAAAACTATACAAGTATGAAGTTTCAAATCTGTCTAATTCCTAGCAGCATTAATCTCTTTGTTCAAAAACTATATGGTTTAAAATCATTAATTTTAAACCATTTAGCACTTAGGAACAGTCGCAGTAAAATGATGATACTTAATTAAGAAAAAGGACATCATTCATAGATCTGCTTCAGAAATAGCAACAGTATTTCTGGACAGATTTGAGATTTATAGAGATGAAGAATAGAATCTGGAGTAAAAAAGTGGCAAGCAAGATAAAGAAATGCAATCTTATCAGATGCTAATTTAGCAATGGATTTGATATATAGTTTCCAAGGGAGATTGGAAAAAACAGTCAACCCAAGAAGATGAACGATATATAGCATACATTACTTCCTATATGAAACAGAGAACAAGTTTTTTTAAGAACATTACAGTTCATAAAGCAAACAATCAGAAAGATTTTGCTTTTTATCAAAACAAGAATAAACTATAGCATCATCAGCGAACAATGCCACCTTAGATTTGAGAATTTCTAAGAGATGGTTAATATAAATTTAAAAAAAGTATAGAAACATAAAAAATAAGCCATAAACAATAAAGCCATAAGGATAGAACCTTGAGGAACCACTGAAGTTTATGGAAATGAAGAAAAGTGCTGTCCAGGAAGGATAACTTATATACATTGGTAGGGAAGGATTCAATAATCTTAAAGGTGTTACCTGATACTTCGTAAGAAGAGAGCATATGATTAAGACCAGTATGCCAACCTTGTTAAAGGCTTTAGAAATGAACCTGTCATGGAAAAGACACAAGCCCATTTATCAAAACTTTTCTTTATCAAAATTTATAAAAAAAACATAAACCATACAGAAATTTTTAATTTAAATTCATAAACTAACTGTTAAAAGTTTTGGACTTTGGTTCAAATGTAGAGAACGATAGCCCTAACTTCTTCACATCTATCTAATCCGTGATAAAATCTATTGGTTATTACTGTTATCAAATCTACAGTGGAGCGAGATCAAAATCATTATTAGTTCTAAGTTATTAGATTCAAAATGAGAGATTAAGTGTTTGTTAATCAAAGACTCAAAAACCTTGCTTATAATAGGAAAAAGACTAATGGGACGGTAGCTAGACAAGTCAGATTGCTCCCTAAAATTTTGGAAGATAGGAATAACAGATGCCAATTTCCAGCATGCTGGAATTTGGCATCTGTTATTATCTTATTAAAACAAGACTCTGATAAGCATTTGTTAAATAGTTTTGAAAGTATGGATGAAAGCTCTGGAGAACACTTCTACAAGACTACAACAGGTATGTTATCTGGACCAAAAACTTTTGAAAAATCAAGGCAGGAAATCAGTTTTGATACAGAAGCTGGATTGATAAGAATGTCAAGCAATAGATCAACCTGTTTGACAGCTATACTAGATAGAACGCAACTGGTGTGGTATCTAGTACTAGAATCTACTGTCTAGAACGCAACTAGTAGTGGAATCAACAGATGATTTTGATAAAAAGTTCTTAGCAAACAATTCAGCTTTGTCTTTAGGTGAGGTGACAAAGTCTAAATTATACAAAAGAGGTGGAATAACAGATTTGCTCTTATTATTGATACTGTTAAAGATTTTCCAGAAATTATGAGAGCCTAATTTTAGAGATGAAATACAAGAGAATTGAGAATTGCTTTGGCGACAGATATGGAAGCAATGGTTTTAATTGGAAATTGCACTAGCACATTGAGAGGAAAACCACAAAGAAAAGTGAAGGTTGACTTAAAATTGTTGAGAAAATAAAAGATTCAAAGCCAGCCTGAATCTAAGAAGTTACATAAGAAGCACATTTGTCAGCAGGAAAACAAAAGTTTCTATCCAAGGGTAGAAAGATTTTGTCTTTCTGCTGACAAATGTGCTTTTTATGTAAAATTATGGAAAGAGTCAGCTTTAAGCTAATTGTAAGAGGTACAATGATGAGGGGATTCTAATGATGAAGAAGAGTGAGATAATAGTTTTACAGAAATCAAACTGTGATCAGAAGCACCTAAGGATAAATGTGGAGAAACTAAGCAATGACTAGGATCAGAAACAAGACATAAGTCAAGTAAAGAAGTTAATTAATTTGGATTATTTAAAAAGAGAGTAGGAATGCTGTCTGTTTGTGTTAGAGATTAAGGCAAAAGTTGTGGGCCCTAAAAATCAAGAATTTAGGATTTCTTATTCTTACATTGATCACTTTTTAAATAAACTCTGAAACATGAAGCTATTCCTACCAGAGGAAGTTGCATTGCACTTAGAAGACATAAAATTAAGACTTCTTACTAAAAAACATTACTCATACCTTGATTGTATCCATTATTCCAAAACCATTATAAAGATATAAAAAAATTATTATATTTACATTATTTTATAATTATTACTTTTAAATTATGAATATAACTTATCATAATAACTCTAGTTGTCATATCGATATTAAAATAATCAAATAAAATTTTAAAACTTTTTATTATTTCTTATTGAATTAATTATTAGTTATATTATTCTTATACATTTCTTTTTAATATTTTAAATTAAAGTAGGAAATTATTTATAATAATTTTACATTATATAAATTGAAAATTTAAACATCACTTCTAATATCAGTGATAGTATTAAATAGATAAACAAAAAAATTATAAATCTAAAACTAAGAAGTAAACTAGGAATGTAAAAAACGTAAAATATTTTTTAATTGTTAAAATCCTGAAAAAAAAAAAAAAAAAAAAAGCATAAAAGCATAAAAGCATAAAAGATGTCATCAAAATATCTTATATTAAAAGATCAGCATAAGATAGTAATAAAATATTTTTTAATTTTTATTATACTATTTTAGGATTTCATAGGTTATAAAACCTTCAGAATTATCTACATTAAATTAAGAAAATTAAAAAGAAAAAACAACATTTATAGTATAATATTTTCATTAAGTTTAACAATACAAAGAAATCTTTACTTGTTATAAATAGATGATAAAAATCACCATTTAAAAACCTTTTTTTTAGGTTTTTTACTTTTTAAACGTTTTTTATCTGCTTTAAGTTTTGCTTGAAACTTTTTTTGCTTTTTTTGAGACATGAATTGAACTACTTTCTTGATATCAACACGAGGGATTTTAACTTTTTTTCCTTCTTGTTGATTATCAGTATCGACATTCATTTTTTCATTATTGGAATCAGTTTGTACTTCATTTTTACTCTCAGCAGTTTCCATTAATTCATCAGTACTTTCCTTAAATGTCTGAAGAATAGCTGCAAGTTGTGCATCATGTTTTGGCTTAAGCCTTTCTTTCATTGCAATTTTGTTCCTCTTTCTTCGCTTTGACCTCAGACCTTTAGCCATTTTAAATCTACTTTAATTTTATTAATAAGCTGTAAAAACTATTTTTATACATAAGTTTCAAACATTCTTAAATCATACATTTATAAATGATATGATGGATTATTTATACAAAAAATATAAATATGTATTATACCCATGTGAGTCTATTTCAACATACAATTCAAACATGTACATACAAATAAAGTAAAAAGGTACAAGGTCCATAGATACACCAAAATCAATCAATATGTTTCAAACACAAAAAGTAGTTTAAAATAAAGTGAAAAATAATATCACTATTTTTGTGAAGGAACAATCCAAATAGTATAAAGTAAATACAAACCAGAGACCTTGTAAAAAATAAAGTGATTACAGTCAAATAACAAAAAGAAAAAAAGGATATATATATATATATATATATATATATATATATATATATATATATATATATATATATATATATATATATATAACAATAATATAAATGTCAACATTTTCAATTACGACTTTTGTTAGCCTTAAACATCAAAGCGTGGAAACTAACTAACGAGCTGAAAAGCATGCTTAGCTTCAAAGAGGGTTTCCTGATTAAATCAAATCGAAAAGATAAAAAAAATTCAATTATTATGAATTTAATATTTATATAACGTTTGATAATTGATTAATTGGCTATATAATTATTAGTAGTAATATATTATTAGTAAGATATTAAACTATATTAGTAAATACGAAATACTGAATATAGGTAACCCTACAGTTAAGAAGCCTACACTTAAAATAAGTCTCTAATTTTCGCGCTCTCGTTTGTAGAGACTTATTTTTATTTTAAATATTTTTTTGATTAATAATAACTAATATTATTATAAATAAACAAATAATCATTATAAATAATTATTATCATTTATTATTACTATTTTTTTGATATACATTTTTACACCCTTTTCCGTTTTCTCAAAAATGTGGAATAGAGCTTTTTTAGGCTGCGTATCTGTCCACCAAGAAGGAGGGGCAAAAGGGACATACGTGCCTCGGGCGCAATGATTATAGGGGTACCAGAAGACAAAGTCAAAAATAACATAAGATTTTATTTATAAAAAAGCAGAAATTTTTTTTTTTTTTTTTTTGATGAGGTATTAACTGAATTTACTTAATAGTGTACAAAACAATTAACTTTGCTTATATTTTTATTACCAAAGAAATATGGTTTTAAATAATTAATCTTCTTTCTTTGGTTGGTGGGGAGCAACCAAAAAAAAAAGATTAATTTTTTATGTTGTAGTCTGTTATGTTGTAATCTTCATTTTTCACTAGTGGAAATCTTTCTCAATGTAA